ACTAAGTTGAGAATTCCTGTCGATATATTGTCTCAGGGTAAAGATCACAGGGAGTTCTTCAACAGTCTCAGGCTGTATTCTCAAGGTTTTTTCCCCTTAAGTACCGCGCAGTTGGCGATCACATACAATCAGCTACAAACAGGTTACCCTAACCTTCTACCATGAGGCTTGCGTAACCAGGCTATGCGCCGTTCTTCGGGTCAATTAATTCACGTTTGTTCATGAATACACAACTTTATTTAGTATGAGACGACCTTATTCACAATCCCGTACTTTTACAGCACTGGAAAATGTTGCCAAGTGTCAGAACACCCCATATAACGAGAAAGTCATTTCAGAGAGTGAACAAGATGACACATCCTTTGCAGAATATTTTGCAACAACGTCAATTTGGGCCACGACAGAAGTGAAGAGCTATAATAATGCACGTAATCTAAATACCGTGAATGAAGTTGATGCAGAATCTCAAGCGCTGGAACCTGTTGAAGCACAGTCTGCGGGCGATTTGGTGTCCAGGAGTGGTGGGCTTCAGCGCGCCTTGCGGTGAGTAATCAGATAGGAGAACACCTCAGAAACAATGAATTGTTATCAAATAAGATGTCGGATAATTCTACATTTAGAACACCGATGTGACCTCGTCAAGTAAATGTATATACACCCGACAAAACAGCTCAGAAAGAAAGAGCTCCAAGTGAATGTTTGAAAATAGTCTATTCTGAGTGCCAATTGGTCTTCTACGACACATGAAGAATTCGGTTTCGATTCAGTTAGTAGACAGGGGACACCAAAAACATGCTGTGTCGCTTTCTAGGTCATCCATCAGGTCGATCTGAAGACTGACGAGAACACGGATGTTGAATATAACCGAGGTTATCACCATTCGCAACCATAAAACGGAGCTATGCATTCAGCGACATCTTATCCAGATGGCTTATTCGTTCTGGCCTGATCATAACGATGCAGACTTCGTGGAATCGATGCAACGGAACATAGGCCGTGATCCGTACGCCAACCGTGGCTCCAAAACCTCGGCTGACCGATCCATATTCTGATAACGTGACTTCTGTGTTGCGTTCCTATTCTTGACTTATTGTCCTTACCTGTTATTCACATCTCGATAGACATTGCACACTAATTTGGTTTTGACAGAAGACTGAAACGAATCCTTCTGGATCTCTCATTTATGCTGTTCTTCTACCCCTACTTGGTGATCTCCAAGTATGGCAAAAACGGTTGTTGACTTTCGAGGAGTACTCAGCAATCTGTACCGTCAATGAAAAGTGTTGTATTCATTTGAAACCAACAAAGAAGTGCAAGCAAATAAAAATGCACATATAAATCCATTTTTATTTCCAAATTAAAAGGGCATTCGATATCATAGTGAATATGGAAAATGCAGCTGGGCCATGCGAAATAGTGGACGCACTTGCCGCCGAACACTACTTAAAGGAGGCCGTGAGGTGTGACGCACGACAAACACGGGATGACAGCTGTTCAAGCGCGAATAGTGTATTTGACAGTGTAAGTTTATGTTTAGCTTGGTTATATTAAGCTTGTTGCAGAAATAGGTGGTATAAATAGGTTTCAGAGCGAGTAACGGGAAATCCTGAACGATCATCTTTAAAGAATTATATTTTTGCTTATTTTTGACACATGCAGATGTGGATGCCTGCAGGTAACTGGCTCGCCTTAAAGGTTGAGTGACCTTTTGGGCAGTTTAGCTCAAACCATAGCATTTTGTAATGGACACATTATGGACACTTTTACCTACGCACTATTGTCATTGCTTTTCAGGGGCTTCTGAGCTACCTGTTGTGTGATTTTAAGGGCCACTCTGGATAGAGAGAAGCGGGAAACTTCAGCAAAGACAATGTCCGGCTATTTTTTCTGTAAATACGTGTGTCCTGTAAAATGCATCGGACCTTCCTCTACTACGACAGTGCTTGGCAACCCGATTGCCTGATAATCGGCTTCAGTGTTTCCCATAGCACAAACCGTACGTAGAAAAGGAAGCGTTCTGTCGTAAACGAGCCCTCTTCAATTGGAAGAAACTAAGTTTAACCCAATGTCACTTTGAAAGTAGCATTGCATGCGGAAGATTTTTTGGTTCCCCGACTTAGAATCTCCAGAAATCCTCACGAATAATTTTACTTTCTCCACGAAAGTAAAGTTGGGTTTCACCACGTCCGGAAGTGATTCCTTCGAATATATAAAGCTATCCGCTCCGCCCCCCCCCCGTTACAAATTCCCGTACCATTACAATTGTCATATCACGTGGAGGCCATGAATGAACCCGAAGTCAAGAAGGATGACTTCAGTCACATGGCAATTCCGGTACTCACCCCATCAAATGATACGCAAGTACTAGAAGGTTTATAAAGCACCTGGTTTGCCCGGCAGCATAATTTCAGCATTTCACTCTTCCGAAGTGATTATCGATATAGTTCCCTCAGTAGGTATTCGTAAAATCTGCACAATATTGCTCACAATGGCCACAATTGCCAGTAATCCAAACAGCACTCATTGACAAACAGTACTATTAGAGTAACATGGGTATGATGAAACCACATCGCGTCTTGCTCTGACGCAATTATAAGACCCAGGTATTTCGGTATTACTATAAAGTACATGCATCTTCCCCTCGACTGTTTACTGTAGTCACCGACCTTGTCGTTTCCATCCATTGTTACCCGGTAAGCATTGCTTCCTGACTTTATGGTAACCGACGTCCAACCTCAGAGATGATGATGAATGAAACCCTGGACTGATATCCACACTCCACGAGAATAAACTCAGTAATGACCATTTACTATGCCATGGCTCGTATAGTTTTGGTTGAGGTGTAAATCACGACTAGCCCCAGGGAATGCCTATTTTACAGACTGAGCCAGAAACGCATGAGCTTCGTTCAAAAAGGCCCACAGTTGGAACTACCTCTCCATTTATTGTCTGTTCTTATGTGGACTTGGGAAACTTGGAATCAGCCTAGCTCGTGTGCTTTGTGCAAACCACCGCAACTATGAATTGAACGACTGGATTACATTTGGCTTCTTGGCTGCACTCCAGAAGTAGAGAAGTAGAAGACGTAGTAGAAGTAGAGAATCGAATGTTCATAGCCACTAAATGGTACCTGCATGGTGNCTGTATGGTGAGTTTTGTTTTCCGGTTGTAGACTATTACACGGATTATGAGAAAATGAGCCCTACAGAAAACTTCCTGAGTCGTAGTGTAAACGTCTGGGTGACTTTCGTTTCAATCACTATGAGGGTGGGTAGTTTGATGAACTAGAAGGAGAAACCTAAAAATGAATGTTAAACTTTCGTACTTTCAAGGAGCTATGATTCACCTAAGGGTCCTACCAAACACGTTTGTTCTCACATAGTCAAATTTACCAAAGTAGAAAATCAACGTGAAACTTCCAGTTACTGCGATCTTACGGGAAAGTTAAACAACACTAGATGGTTATGGCAAAAAGTAGAATTGGTCGAAAGGATCTCATCTCACAAAAACCGAGTCATAAGAAGCCTAAAAAGCTGCTGACAGAATTTCCATATTGTGTGTTCAGACTGTGAGTCCATTTAAAGAACACATTAGATTTTCCGACTCTCTCAGGGAAGAGGAGGGTACTAGACAGATGTGGCAGTCAGATCCAAAATGATATACTCCAAAAGCTCTGAGTTAGTTGTGTGGCGGCCATTCGTGCCTGAATGATACAAACTTGCTTTCGTGGCCAACATCTCGATAGCCCAAGATGTCAACGCCGAAGTGTTAGCTTCAAATGACAAACATTAATACTCACTAGTGCTTTCTATGCCCATATTCCAAGGAAATGATTGTCAACATTGTAGAATACTTCATAGATTTGGGCAACCTGCCATTATCTCAACTTTCGTGTTCCCCTCTAGTGGCATGGTAGCTGGGCATTGAGAGGGTACTACAGACGAGCGATTATGTATTTATGATATATCAGCGATTAAAGCCGAACACAGGAATAAGTTTTTTCAATACTATGTTGAGAATTCCGGTCGATATATTGTCTCAGGGTGAAAATCACAGGGAGTTCTTCAACAATCTCAGGCTGTATTCTCAAGGTTTTTCCCCTTAAGTACCGCACAGTTGGCGATCACATACAATCAGCTACAAACAGGTTACCCTAACCTTCTACCACGAGGCTTGCGTAACGAGGTTATGCGCCGTTCTTCGAGTCAATTAATTCACGTTTGTTCATGAATACACAACTTTATTTAGTATGAGACGACCTTATTCACAATCCCGTACTGTTACAGCACTGGAAAATGTTGCCAAGTGTCAGAACACCCCATATAACGAGAAAGTCATTTCAGAGAGTGAACAAGATGGCACATCCTTTGCAGAATATTTTGCAACAACGTCAATTTGGGCCACGACAGAAGTGAAGAGCTATAATAATGCACGTAATCTAAATACCGTGAATGAAGTTGATGCAGAATCTCAAGCGCTGGAACCTGTTGAAGCACAGTCTGCGGGCGATTTGGTGTCCAGGAGTGGTGGGCTTCAGCGCGCCTTGCGGTGAGTAATCAGATAGGAGAACACCTCAGAAACAATGAATTGTTATCAAATAAGATGTCGGATAATTCTACATTTAGAACACCGATGTGACCTCGTCAAGTAAATGTATATACACCCGACAAAACAGCTCAGAAAGAAAGAGCTCCAAGTGAATGTTTGAAAATAGTCTATTCTGAGTGCCAATTGGTCTTCTACGACACATGAAGAATTCGGTTTCGATTCAGTTAGTAGACAGGGGACACCAAAAACATGCTGTGTCGC